GTTGCATTCTCAGTAAGGCTTCTTTACAATACAGCCAGCTCTCCTGGACTTCTCTCCCCCTCAGACTGGCTTCCCAGGGGATCCTGTCAATGAGTTCCCTCAGCGAGTCAAAGTCTGCTTTTCTGAAATCCAGGGTCCTTACCCTGCTGCTTTCCATCCTGCCTTTCCTCAGGATCTTGAATTCAATCATATGGTCAATGCTGCCCAAGTTGCCATCCACTGGTTACACATTCCCCACCAATTCATCCCTGTTTGTGAGCAGCAGGTCAAGAAGAGCATGGCCATTAGTTGGCTGCTCCAGCACTTGCACCAGGAAGCTGTCTCCAATGCTCTCCAAAAACTTCCTGGGTTGCCTGTGCACTGCTGTGTTGCCCTCCCAGCAGATGTCATGGTGACTGAAATACCCCATGAGAACCAGAGCCTGTGATTGGGAAACTTGTGCTTCATCCACTACTTCCTCCTGCTCTGGTGGTCTATAGCAGACCCCACCATGACATCACCCTTGTTACTCTTCCCTCTAACCTTAACCCAGAGTCTGTCAACAGGCCCATCTCCAGTTTCATACTGGAGCTCTGAGCAATCATATGGCTCTTCTCCCCTGCCTGTCTTTCCTGAACAGTTTGTACCCATCCATGACACTGTTCCAGTCATGCGAGCTCCCACCAAGTCTCTATTATTCCAAACATGTCCTGGTTCCATGACTGTGCAAGGACTTCCGATTCTTCCTGCTTGTTTCCCAGGCTCTGCATTCATATACAGGGGTAACTAGTCAATTGCCCTGATTTCTCAGGAAGTATGAGAACAGCTCCCCTGTTGCCCCCTCCTGATTGCTCTTCCTCCAAGTCTCCTGCTTCCCCACTTACCTCAGGGCTTTGGTCTCCATCCCCCAGCAAACCTAGTTTAAAACCCTCCTTATTTATGATCTTACATTGGTACAAAAAGATGTTAAACCAGTGTAAAATTGGTATAAGCAAGAGCAGAAGCAGGTGCACTAGCCAGAGGGCTAAACAGGGGCAATTAATTCACACGGAACTGTAGCCTGCTAGAAGGTACTAGGTAGCTATGTTCATTCAACCAGGTGCCTTCTACCACAGTTCAAACATTGCTTCCACATGGTGGGGTCTTTCTCCATATTAAGTGCTTGACATTGTGGGCTGGTATCCCACGGACGTTTGTCCCACTGCTAGGCCCTTTGCATTGTGAAATTTTTAATGGAGAATTATGGGATATGTAGCAGAAGCGAGCTGGAATCAACATTAATGATGGGACTCTGGGTCAAATCCAGAAATTTCCAAGATACAGTAGCTCTTTTTTCAGGAAGCCAGCTCCATTTTCAAGACGTTATCAGCTGGCAGAGATGGAACATTACACTGTACTACAATGCTAGTCATTAAAAATGACTAGCGAGGGGCGCGGCAAAAACGTAAAAGCGTAAAGCGACCAAAACGCTGGCTTGCATCCATAGATGCTTCAAGCAAATCCCGGGACGTCATTCTCCCCCTGTACTCAGCCTTAGTGAGGCCGCAGCTGGAGTACTGTGTCCAGTTTTGGGCTCCACAATTCAAAAAGGATGTGGAGAAGCTTGAGAGAGTCCAGAGAAGAGCCACGCGCATGATCAGAGGTCAGGGAAGCAGACCCTACGATGACAGGCTGAGAGCCCTGGGGCTCTTTAGCCTGAAAAAGCGCAGGCTCAGGGGTGATCTGATGGCCACCTACAAGTTTATCAGGGGTGACCACCAGCATCTGGGGGAACGTTTGTTCACCAGAGCACCCTAAGGGATGACGAGGTCGAATGGTCACAAACTACTTCAAGATCATTTCAGGCTGGACATAAGGAAGAACTTCTTTACTGTCCGAGCCCCCCAAGGTCTGGAACAGCCTGCCACCGGAGGTGGTTCAAGCGCCTTCATTGAACACCTTCAAGATGAAACTGGATGCTTACCTTGCTGGGATCCTATGACCCCAGCTGACTTCCTGCCCTTTGGGCGGGGGGCTGGACTCGATGATCTTATGATGTCCCTTCCAGCCCTGATGTCTATGAAATCTATGAAAAATATACAATAGTGTTATGGAGAGGTACTCAGCATTTTGCTACTGGACAGCTTCAACTTTCTAAGTCAGCCACTGGTCTACCAAGCAGCTATTGCAATCTTTTTGTCAGCAGTGCTACCAGTTATCTTGCATATAACTGTAGCAGGAGGCTGAGAATGATGTGGCAATGATGATGATGATTGCCTGCTTGTGGAGGAAATGTTTAAGGACCACATTCACATGGTCCAGTGCTGTGTCTGTGTGGGAGATGACTGTGCCACAGATCCAGCATGACATGCACTGGCTACAGAACCTTGGGACAAAGTGCACTTTCCTGGAAATCTGTTTAGACTTTGCCCTAGGTTTGCAGCAGCAAACACCAATACCAGAGCACCCTTCAGCATCCAGGTGCATGTGGCAATCACTCTCAGCTCACCACCCTCAACTGCTTCCAGTTGAGAAGCTAAGCAATTAGGACTGTGCTGATAGAAGCATATGCTGCTAGTAAGGAATGAATGATGTGTGATTAATGATGCTCTGGAGGTTCCTGATGACTTTCCACAAAAGGAGCACCCACATTGCACTGGGAAAACTGGTAGTACTATATTCCTAATCTTTGTCTTGCTCTACCCTCCTGGGCTAAGCTGCTGTTGATCCTGTGTTATGGCCAGTGTGTAGAAGACCCAGGGTTGAGTGATTCTGGAGCAAACAGCTGTTCCCAGTATAGTCTTGTAGAGGACCTGTCTGATGATCAGGGTTCTGGGTTTTCTATTTCCCTTAGAAAAACAGAAAAAAACATGGATTTTGCTTTTTAACTGAGAAAATCATGAATTTCTCATTTTAGAGGAGAAACAAGTGGGTTTTTCATTTTTGCAAAGAGCTCTCTGCAGCCTGGCAGAGTTCCAGCCTCCAGGGGGCAGGAGGAGGGCAGTCAGGCAGGGGGCGCCATGTGCACGTATATGCACATGTCCACCAGGCAGCCTGCAGAGCAGCTCCTGTAGGTAAACCTGGTGGGGGGGGAAGGATTGAGGTCCCCGTAGGGAGGGAGTTGGGCAGGGCTGGGGCTGTTGGCCAGCCAGGCAGTGCGTGGGGCTTGGTGCCCAGGACTAGACTGTGAGGCCACAGGGCCTGGGCAGGGCGTGGAACGGGGCTGTGGGAGGCTTGTCCGGGGGGGAGGGGCACAGGCTCCCCACCACTGCACACTCCTGGGGGGGCATGGGTGTATCTGCCCCCAGAGCTCTGTGTGGAGATAGATGGAGGCGGGGATTGCCTGCCTGTCCTTCCTGAACAGTTTGTACCCATCCATGACACTGTTCCAGTCATGTGGGTCCCCATGTGGAGGGGAGGGAGGGGTTGCCTGCTGCAGGTTCGGGCTCCCTGCCCTGCTGTCCTCGCCCCAGGGTCTCCATGACCCAACAGGCGGGACCTGGGACGGCAGGGCAGAGCGGGGCCGGGCAGGGAAGCTCCTTGCTGCTGCAAGTCCTGCCCTGCCCTGACGAGGTGCCCGCTGCCTGCCCAGGAGCAGTGAGGGACACAACTCTGCACTGCTGCCCCTGCTGCTGCCAGGTGGGCAAGGGTCACTTTGCCAGGGTGGCACAGGGCTCCCAGTGGCAAGGAGCTTCCCCTCCCAGACCCACTGTGCTCTGCCACACTGGGTTCTGTCCGCTGGGCCATGGAGGTGTTGGGGGCAGGGCAGCAGGGTGGGGAACCCCAAGCTCACAGAGGGCAGCCCACCCCACCCCCACGGGCTCTGCTCTGGCCATGCCATCCACAGGGGAGGGGTAGCTGGGCTATGTGCCCTGCTCCCGCTCAGGCCACAGCAGTTGTCGCCTCCCACAGGTGGCAGCATTCAAGTGCTCATAGCCCTGACAGCTGGGGGACAGGGGATTGTAGGTGGGGGCAAGGGTCATCAGCAGGGCTGGGAGGCTGTCACTTGGAAGTGAGGGGCCTGGACCTGCGTCCTGGTGAGCGAAGGGGGAAGCTCTGATTTTCCATGATAAAAAACCCAAAATCAAATAACAAAATGTACTGGTATTTAGAATTTATTTCATTATAGTGATTGAGGCATTGGTAGACTTCCAAACTGCTTTAAAATTGTAAATGTATCAATAAAACATGTTGATATATCTATATATATATAGATATATATCTATATATATATAGATATATATCTATATATATATAGATATAGTGGCATTTCATTTTAATCACAGGTTTTGGGAGGTTTGTCAGATACTTTGTGATTTTTAAACAGAGAAAACCATGATCCCTGCTGATTATGGTGTGTTCAAGGTGTGGGGAGGAAAGAGGAGCTTTACTGAGGAGCTTTATTGCAGCATGTTTTCGAGCAAGCTATTTGTCTCTCCAGCATAGGTGCCAACTTCTATTCTTGCTGGAGGGAGCAGCCTAAGATGACAGACATATGAAAAGTGTTATACATTTCAGGTGATAACCCTCTTCCCGAGTGGGGCCAGGGCCCTTGGGCCCCCATGTACTCAGCACCTCTCCTCTCTATGACATCCAGAAGCTACCTCTGGATCTTCCTGTCCTTTTCTGTGGTCTTCTAGGTTATAGTGAGTCTCAGCTTGGTCAGCTACCAGTTCAGGTTGAGGCCCCCATTGATTTATCTCCGTGTCTTTCTCTAGCTAGAAACATCCATCTGTTCCTGAGCAGTGAGGACTCCTCCAAAACTCAATTTCTGTCATCTTTCTCTCTTCCCCATCAGATTTCCAAGTGTTGGAAGGCTGATCAAACTCCTTCCCTTTAAGGTCATACAGGCTCAGGTGCATGTTCTCTTACACCATGGTCCAAATCCTGTCCATCCCAGGTAGCACTAACTTTGCCAGAGGTCAAGGCTTTGCCACAGGCTGTCTTTTCAGCCAACATCAGCTTTTTACTCTCATTCTGGCATCATTGTGTGTTATAGGCATGTCCCCTCTGGGCTATCACTTTCACAATTTTTATTCCAGTAATTCATCATAAGAGCTTCTTGAGCTTCTGCCTCTCCTCAAAGGTTGAGAAAATCCAGCAACTGAGCATGGTTCCAGGTGGGTGCATATGTCACAGTACAGCAAATGCTGTAATGTTATGGTGTGAGGATGGTGACTCTTGGAGTAGGCAGGCACAGGTGTCCTGCTGTTGTTTGTATATCAGTATTTTAATAGGAAAGGCTAGTTACCTACTGCAGAACAGCACAGGTTATACGGGTAAATAGATAGGTCACCTCTGGTGTGCTTTAAAGCAGTATGGCATGCCAGCTATAAGACCCCCAAGCTGGGGTGCAGTAGTGATGTATCCCTACACGCACTGATTTGCACTAATTTCATATGTAGTAATTTAAAAATAGGAAACGGTACAGAATGCACATTATCATGCCAGTAAGTATGGCCTAAGGACTGTATTATATTTCTCCCTTTATATTGTTTTCCCCTTTTTGCCACTTCTTCTTCTCATGTCCTGTCACCATGTTTAAATGTGACTCCAAAAATGGGCACATACTATTGCTCAATCTGTAGCCTTACTGAGGTCTTGTTGGTGCACGATTTCCCTATAAATGGGAAGATCAGTAGATGTTGTATAGCTTAAAAGTTTCCTCCACATTCACAAATAATGTTTGTATTGTTAGATACAAACACCATAGCTGCATGTTAACTTTAGTATTACTAACTGTTGTTCGGAGGTAGTTCAAGCTTCCCTATGTTGACCAATCAAGCTCTGCTCCTGCAGGGAGATATTCATTCACCGGTTTTGATTTTCATCCTAACTCTCTCCTGAGTCATTTCTAGTCACAATTCTAACATTTGTATTTGTGTGGCTGTCAGTGTTTCATCCAATGACTGCATTGTAGAGAGGATTTTTTTCTGTGATCTTAATGCCACAATGTAGCCATGTAGCGGGTACTGCCACTGAATGCAATTAAAACAAACAAACAAAAAATCAATCCATAGGAAAATAGAAAAGGGAAACTTAGTTTAACATTTCTGCAGGGTGACACCTCTGGCATTTTGCACATACACATATTTTTACCAGAGAACCACGCTGGCCTGACATAAACAGCCACAGATGTATCTTTAGAGGTTTCTATTAAGATATGGAGCATAATCAGAATTATGCTATTAATTTAGAAACGAAAAACAAAACTAGAGAATACTATAAGAAAGAAATCTTGAATGGTGTTCAAAAAAAGCAATGACTTTGCTTCCAATTAATAAACATAATATTTGAAGACCTAGTATCAGCTACGTTTTCATTAAGAAAATATGAACTGAAATATAAAGTAGGAGGCAGCCCCGTAACCCTTATTCAGGTGACATGATCCACTCACTTAGCATGTCCACTCTTGTAAGTTATGGTTGCAAGGACTGGGCCCTTAGCTCAGAGGATGAAAGGTAACTGCTGATTATTATATTTTCTTCCTTTCCATTTCAGTCCATGCCCTATTTCCAATATGTTACACTGGTTACTATAAAATGCGAGCATCATGAAAAACAACAGACCTATATTGTTTTGCTGCTCTCCTGTATCCTTGAACCATTAATACTCTCTCACAATGAAGAGAGACTTTGAAAGGAGCCACAACGTAAAAGCAAATGTCTCTTTGCTAAACATTCACACAAACAGCACCCAGAACAAACTGTACGCAGAATAATAGGATGTAAATGGAAGCAGACAATGCCAAAACTGTACAATTATATTTTTGTCTGTCCTTGATTTTGAGAATTTTATTATTCATCAGAGTCCAGTTCATATTTGTTTTGTTTTAATGTCTGAAATGCTTTGCATTTCATCCTAATAGTCCTCTCTGTTCTAAATGTTTATACAGCATGATTTACTACAATGTGGATGTGTAATTATGGTGATGATTAGACAAAACATTTTTGACAAGAAAGGAAAACAGTAGTTAATAATGTTTTCCATCTGTTTGGTAAAACCCAACTTGAAAAGAAGGAGGCCTAAGCATGTACCAGAGTCCAAGGCAACACCTATGTAAGTACATGACAGAAATATAAATGCCTAATGAATTCATTCTGATCATTGCTCACACATTTTTGAAAGCACTACCATCTGTTTTATAGATAAATATTACTGCAATTAATGTCAGTACATGTTTATATTATATCATTTCCAGAGTCTTATTTTAGAGCTAAGACGCCTTTCTTTTCAAAAGGAATAACGACATATTTTAAGCTATTGGCAGGAAATGCATTGTAATTAGGATAAAATGAGTGAATTTCAATAATGACTTGCTTCTCTATTGGAGAAAGTTAGCGCATTTAAAGCTTCTGTTCTTCATTAAGGGCCAGATACTGGGTCACTGCCTGTACTGCTCACTGAAGGCTTAAAAAAAAGCCTAAAAATTGAAACTTGGCTGCACATGGAAAACAGCACAATAGATATAACATGGATGAGTCTTCTTCACCCTTGAGATGTGTATTTCATGCCTCTGCTCTGCCCTTATGTTGGTTGATTAAGAGTTTAATCGTGCCATGAGCATGGCTCTGATCTACCCAAGCTCTTAAGCACATACTAAACTTTTTAGCTTTTTCCAGGGCTGAGACAAAAGCAGACAAGCTAAAGCTGCTACTTTTCCCCATGGTGTTTAGCAAGGGCCTGGCTATGAACGTAGCATGTCTTTATGATGAAGATTTAATCCTTCAGCTCCCACTATGTTCCAACAAAACAAAATCCCTTTATGCAGATTTAGCTCCTTCCCCATCAGAGAATCTAAGAAATGTGTCCAAAACCAAACAGACCCCATAAATTAACTGGATATTTATTGACTTAGTACTTCTGTTTATACGATGTGCCAGTCAAAATGCTATACAGGCCTGATTGAAGGCCCACTGAAGTCAGCTGAAAGATTCCTATTGTCTTCAGTGGGCTTTGGATGAGGATCCAACTATATTTGTGCATCCAAATATATGTATGTCTGCATCTGGAACATGCCTAACACTTGAAAGAGAATTCTTTTATTGTTGTTCACTACATCAATACCTTACTTTCTATGCCAGTGAAATTAAGTTGCAGCTGAATTTTTCTTGTCCTGCTGCCAAAATTTCATGCACCTGTATGAGGACCTGCTATTTGAAAATCTGTGCCTGGTGACAGAGATCAGTGGAATTTTGTTTAGAATAAAGTAACACATTTTGTTCCTTCAATAGATTTTGAACTGCCAGTTCCACTGTCAGACCCAGAGCATTGCTGTTTTAGCATAAGGCAGGGCAGGGTGGCATTTTTTATTAGTATCTCAGTTTTTCTTGACAGAATGTAATTTTGTTTCTTCACAACAGCCACAGCAGATGCTGCCTTTGCTAAATCTAGCTAAGATTTAAGCATCTCTGGAGAGGCTTAAATCTACTAGCACTACTCAGAATATTACTAACAGCCAATAGATTTTCCTGGATGGCTTCCATCATGGATTCCACTTAGGCAAAGTCCGTAAGTATCCACCTAAGTTTCCAACTAAATAATTGCTGCTAAGACTGTTTTTAAGAAAAAGCTGCATGTTTGTTTCCAGTAAAAAGTTCTGTTTGAAAATACAGGCTGCAGTCAAACCGGACTATGTTGCAGCCTCTATCTCTGAGTACCAGTCGGAACGCCAGAGATCACTGGCACTGGAAAAGCATCCTAGGCGATTTATGATCCTTCATAAATCAGTGGGGGACGTGCTACTGAAGCTAAAGCAAAACCATCCCAAAATGCAAAAGGCAAAATTGAAACAAACCGAGTTCAGCATACATGCCTCTTCCTTCCTCCTCCCCACCCCAAACTTAGTCTCCTCCTCAAAAAACCTTGAAAACAAGATAAATTAGTAAAACTCAAATAAGCAGTTAAAAACAAAACCTTTGTTAAGTAAACAAGGTACATAGGTGCTGAAGACCACAGCACTAGCTTGTTACAATTGGTATTGTATGAGAAACTGTTTGGATGACAGCTCCCTAATTCAACCTCTTCCTCAGAATTTCCACAATGTTGTATTATAATCCTGGATGAGTAAAACATCCAAAACATGGAAACTTGGTACAAAGGTAAGAAGGGATTTTGAAATGGGCTTCAACAAATCTCTGAGCAGAATATTATAGCTATTGAAAAGAGGAAACCTAACTGGTTTCAAGGTGGAGTTTGGTAAGTTTATAAAAGAAATTTTAGGATGTGGTTGCTTGTAGCAGCAGGTGACTGAAATCAGTGATCTAGGAAGTTCCTTTCTAGTCCTGTTTCCTATGAAAACAAACGAAACCACAAAGTTTGAATTCATACCAAGACCCAAACATCAGTGGGTTTGTGGGTGTTGGATTCAGCAATCTAGTTTGGTATACTGCTAAGAGAGCCTGATGGAAAGTTCTGGTCAAGATTTGAACTTCTAGGAAGGATGGAGTTTGTCAGACTTGGAATTTTGGTGCAGAAGTAAAGCACACACGGGCATGTGCACACACCTTTTGCTTTGCTGTGTATCCTTTCTTCTGAAAAATCTTAAAACAGCAGTAGGCAACCCCCAGCACAGGTGCCAGAGTGTGGCGCACACAGGCATTTTGCTTAGCATGCGTGCTTCAGAGTGGAAAACAGGGAAGGGGCCAGGGCCGTGCTGCCATAACAAGGATTGGGCCACTCATGGCTCCCCCACTGTCTGCCCCCGGCACACCAACATCTTACAAGTAAAGGTTGTGGGTGTTTTTGGCACTCTGCCCAAAAATGTTGCTGACCCCTGTCTTGAAAGATTTTACACATAATAATTAAATAAGCCTCAGAGCACCCTTAAAAGTTAAGGAGAATGTCACTTCTCGCTGAGAGCAAATGCAGTAGCTGTTTAAGAGTGAAGAGTTATGCTTCACAGGAGTCTAGAGCCAGAAGTGATAAAGAATACTACATATAGTTGAAACATCTCGGAAGGCCAAACGTAATGACACGAGTGGGCCTAGGACAGGGTGGGCAATTATTTGGGCTGGCAGGCCACTTAAAGAGTTTTGGTGACCTGTTGAGGGCCACCATCCCTCTCTCTCTCCCCCCATCCTTCCCCCGCTGCAACCAATGCAGAAGCCTGAACCTACCTGCAGCTTTAGCAGGCCCTGCACTGCCCCCTCCCTTCCCCCACCCACAATTCCAGACCCAACAGCTGTTCAACCATGGCCAGCAGCTTCCAGGTCCAAGGGGGCGCAGGGGGTGCTACAGCTGCAGGCTATAACCAGCATGTAAGCATTGAACCCACCTGCAGCTGTAGCACGACCCACCCCCTTCCCCTCCTGGAAGTTGGCAGCTGCCAGATCCAGACTTGGGGCATGGAGGGTATGCTTCCACTTCTGCACTGATGGCAACTCCAGCCCGGAGAGAAAGAGAGCGTGCACCTGGCATGCTGGAAGCAGCCCCAGGCCACCTGCAGGCCAGATTCATTCACTTGGTGGGAGCCCACCTGTGGTCCAGATCCAATCAGTTGGAGGGCCAAATGTGGCCCACAGGCTGTATTTTGCCTACCCCTGGCCTACAATGACATCTCTGCCCTTACAAAAGATTGTGCAAGTTTGTCAGGACCCCAAGTTGCCAGGGTCTCTGTTTTATGTCTTATTCTCTTTAGTGTTCTCTGCTTTCTTGCTGGGACATTGGTTTAGTCAGGTTCAGTTAGCTGAATGCAAGTTAATATTGCTCAGCCCTTCAGCACCAACATACATCCCCAATGGGGCTCAATATGCTGGAATTCAGCAAAAGGCCTCACCCCCACTCACCCCATCCCCAAATTCCTGGCCCTTCTAGGAGCCCTGTGGGTTATATGATGTGTTCTGAGGGCCAGATTCAGCCCATGGGCCATACCCTTGACACCCTTGCCCTAGGTCATATCAAGCTTTATGTGCATGCAAAATATATTACAGTATTAAAAAAAAATTACAACTGCGTTACGCAAGCTTTTCTGCAGGCAACTGAAACAGCTGCTATATGCTTTGGTACTTTATACTGTACCGTAATAGATAAAACTTAAAAGAAATTAAGTTTTTTAACAATATGGCTTTGAGTCCAACCACCGCATAAAGCAGGAGGGAGAAGGCAGAAAAATATTTATACAGGATGTACTCAAATTGTAAGGAATAAAGGTTTCCCTATGTAAGAACATTTATACAACATGTTACTGTTCTGTGGAAAACAGATTCTGGCTTGGAAAGTATAGTATTACACTTAACAGATACAGCATAGTTCCCAATTATTTTTCCTGTTTTCTTTTGCTGTCTAGCTTCAATTCCTGTAGCTTTTTAGTAAAATAAAAGGACCAGAAACTACAATCCCTTGTGAAGTCTTGCATTTAACTCAAATGAGAGTTTTAACTGGAAAAAGCACTCTCAATGGTCTGAGAGTTGTCCCGGTGACATTGTACTTCTTAGGTTAAAGGGTGACAAGGGAAAGAATACTCAGTTGTCTTCCTTGGTTGCACTATCAGTTCTTCCTGTCTGACAGACCTGGAGCTGCTCTGTAATATTTTCACAATACTGTATGTGTCTGTGTGCTGGTTATTGAGAAAGTTACTGTATAAATATGTTGGTTAAGTTTAATTGTGGGCTGTTGGAAAACCAAGCAGGAAGTGGAGCAGTAGCTCAAGACTGGTCCCCATTTAACAGCACTTAAGGGACAATGCAAGAGCTATTCATTCTGATATTCTGTCTCTGATCCCCTGCTGAGTTCTCTGGAGTAGTTTTTCAAAGTGTGCATGGCTGGGCACATGTGGGGAGAACTTGTGAGAGAACAAAGATCCTGACTGGATTTTAGAAAGATTTGCATCCTCAAGCAAGAGATACACATGTAAGGGAAAGACTGAGGCTTAGCCTACACAACAGAACTTTAAAAATAGTAGTTACATTAGAGCAGCAAAGATCCCTCCAGTAGATGCAGATCTGCTGTTAGAAGGCATTTTTCTTCTTCCTACATTATATGAGCCCCCCTGAACAGCAGAAACCTTGCTAGGAGAAGCCTTCTTCTGCTGGCAGACTGTCAACATTGGGAGTTTTGCCAGCATAGCTACATTAGTGACAGGGGGAGATATTTTCAGACCCCAAGCCACTGTAGCTATGGTGGCAGAGACAAGGTCTGATGCACAAAGCCCTAGTTAAGAATGACTGGAAAAATGAGGTTTCTACCAAAGAATGACAGGACTCTAGGGGAGAGGTATGTGCATGCATTTCACTGATGCTATGCTTTATTGCTGTTGATAGGACTAAACAATGCAGTAGTTGAAGATCCAGCTCACTAGTCACCACTGTTCACAGATTCATGAACATCTGCAGGTACTGAATAAATTCAACCTTCTTGTATAAATAGGGACCTATTGAAATTGCAATTTTGTGGAAACTGCAATTTTGGGCAGGCTGTGTGGAAAAGCATGGGCTCCGCGCTTTTGGCGGGCTCCCTGAAAAAAAAACTTACTGAAAATAAAATGCTGGCTCCCTCTGGGGAACCAGCAGTCCTTGTGGCTGCTGTGACCCGGCGGCTTAGCCTGGCGGGGAGGGAAGGAGGAAGGGGGTGCTGCTGGCAGAGCTGTCCCTAGGGCACAGTGAATCAGGGCGACCACCCCAGGCCCTGCGCTTTGGGGGGGCCCTGTAGAGCCAGGCGGAGTGGCTGCAGCCCCTCCTGTGGGGCATACCCAGAGCTGGTGGCTCAGTCCCGTGCTGCGGAAGAAGCACAGAAACCCCCTCCCCCTTTGCAGTGGCCCTGCACAGTGTTAAGGGGGCCCCACATAGGCTGATTTGCCCCAGGCCCTGCACCCCACTAGGGTTGGTTCTGGCTGCTGACATGGCAAATGGTGGCTATCCCTGCCCCTTGCTGTTGAATAGACAGCTGATCCTTGGCTCCCACCCTTGGGAGTATATTGGAGACAAGGGTTTCAATGGACCCCTGAGGCTGGGAGCATAGATCAGCTGATTGCCACTTCCAGCCTCAGAGGTACACAGGAGTCCTTGATTCTGATGCATCCCTGAGGCTTGGCACCCCAACCAGCTGCCGTGTCTAGCCTCCAGGGTGCACTGAAATCAAAGGCTCCACTGTATCCTGAAGGTTGGGAACACAGTGAAGTCAAGGGCTCTGATGCACCCCCACAGCTAGTCAAAGGCTCCCAGGGCTCCCAAGGCTGGGAGCTGTGAACAGCTAATGCCTAGCTACATATGCAATTTAAGGCACAATGGGAACCAGCCACCAAGTTACGCACATTTTGGGCATATCTACACATACCCCTATAGTGCTGTTGTTACTACACTGTCATTTAATAATACTTCCTTTTGGAAGTACTAAATGACAGCGCAGTAACAGTCTGTACTGCACTGTGCCGGTAGGCACAGTTATTTTTAGCTGCTACATTGTTGTAGCAACACATTATACTGAGAGAGTGTGTTGCTATGGCAACGTAGCTGCAGCCTCACAATTTGCGCCCACTGTAGCGCATTGCTACAGTGATGTAGTGTCATGTGTAAACGCACCCTTTGTGGAATAACTTTGTGGCTCAGTCCTTGTTTTATTCAACTATTAATTGCATTGATGTGTGACTGGGTTACAATTTAAGGACTAAGTACAGACAGTCAAAAAGCCCAAGGGTGAATCAATTCAATCTTTGCAAATTAGTCTACGCTGCATAGCTTGAACCAAGAAGCAAGTGAACAGACATTAACTTTTGATTCTGGAAATGCAGCCACATGCCTGCAGTGGCTCAGGCTAGAAGCAGGGGAGGCAGGCTAGCACATGCCTCCCTGCTCATCTTGAGAACACAGCTTAGGCCAAAGCTAGCCCATCCACCCTGCAAGGGGGGTATGCGGCGAGGTGCAAAGCATCCTGGGATGCTGGGTGACTATTGAGTTAACTTGAATCTGGAGGGGATCTGGGACAGAAATTCAACAAACCAATTTAACCTTTGGGTTCCACAATTCAAAAAAGATGTGGAGAAGCTTGAGAGAGTGCAGAGGAGAGCCACGCACATGATCCGAGGTCAGGAAAACAGACCTTATGATGAGAGGCTGAGAGCTATGGGACTCTTCAGCCTGGAAAAGCACAGGCTCAGGGGAGATCTGATGGCCACCTATAAGTTTATCAGGGGTGTTCACCAGGATCTGGGGGAATGTTTGTTCACCAAAGCGCCCCGAGGGATGACAAGGTTGAACGGTTATAAACTCCTCAAGACCATTTCAGACTGGACATAAGGAAGAACTTCTTTACTGTCCAAGCCCCCAAGGTCTGGAATAGACTGCCACCAGAGGTGGTTCAAGCACCTACTTTGAACGCCTTCAAGAGAAAATTGGATGTTTATCTTGCTGGGATCCTATGACCCCAGCTGACTTCCTGCCCCTGGGGCAGGGGGCTGGACTCGATGATTTTCTGAGGTCCCTTCCAGCCCTAATGTCTATGAAATCTATGAAATCAGTTAAGTCTGATACTACATCCATCCAGGTTTATTTTAAGATGGTTTCAGAATTTTGAAAGTGGTTTATTTGCACTGAATTTCTATTATGTTACAGATTTGAACCAGTTTCCTATCACTTATACTAGTTTATGTGTAATTTCCATCCCCAGCCCAGATGTCAGTAACTAGTTAATCACATCTGAAGTGTAATGTCTTCCAGGGGCCTTTGTGTCAGCAGGGAAGACAGAGGATAAGAAAACACAGGAAAAGCCCTTTAAAAAAAAGCCACAGGAAAGCCATCAAGAGAAGAGTTGAACCAAGTGCATCTGGGTGGTAACCAACCATCAGTCTGGCTAGTAAGTTTCATTTTTGGCAGGCAGACAATAAATTATAGAAGATTATGATTAGGCAATTAATGAGTATTTTTGATTGTTCATTATAAAACAAATAGTTAAAATGGGGCTCCTCAAACCTAAAAAACCCCTTGGTTATTCTGGTATACTCTTTTCAGAAGCAGCTTCTCTCTTCCCAAATTTTCACACATTTTTGGTTTGTTCTCTGTCCATCAGGGGAGCCAGCTCACTCAACAAAAAATGTATTTATATGATAGACAAAGCAGGGCTTTCATCATAATTTAAATTGCCAGTCTTCATGACTGATTTGGGTTATTTCTCCCTCTACTTCCATTATCATAACAATTGTTTCATCGTCTTGATCTTGTGCTCAGATACGGTACTTCCTCTAACAGCAGAAAATGTCAATTATGAAGAGACTGCTTGTTTTTTACTTGTTGTGAATCATTTACTTAAGAAAGACTTTCATCACATGTTTTAGACACCAAGATGTGCGCAAGTAATTGGTGTGAACTGCAGTTGGAGATATGCATGAGTTTCAAAACGAGAAGACCTACCTTATGGATGTAGCCATGGAGTACTTCCACATCTGTTAACTTCACTGGTGTTCTCTACATCCAGCAAAAGCAAAAAAAACTATACACTGTATAAGTTATGCAAACAAAGTATACCTGTTCTGACCTCAGACAATGAATACAATTACTTGTTTAAAAAGTGACTAATATTATTTAAAATAAAAACATGGTTTTCTAACAGATTAAGAGCATTAACTCTTTCATTTTGTACTAAGTAGTTGCTTTGTTTAGTTATGCAGTTTTCCCTTATTGTTATAGGCCTTCTGCCAGCAAATCATTAGGATTAAAAAGGAGGAACACTAGAAAGTTCAGTATTATACATCTATTTTGCCAACATGTAGCAAATAGGTATAATCCATCATTTTCAATGCCCCTTTCAATAGTATCCTTCACTACCTCAGATAATTTAACAATCACAATGACAGTCTAATTTTTTCCTCTAGTAGCCAAGATGTTTTCAAAGGAAACTTTTTTTCCAGTAGCACATTCTGGATTCTCTACTGAAATACTATTAGATGCAAAACGCCTTCATTCTTTAGGCCAACTTCAGGAATGTTGGAAAGATCTGGAAAAGCCATTCTCATTTTTCAGGTCACTCAGAAAAATCCCTACAATCTTCCTGTCATTTCTATTCCTTTTACAATCCATCTAATACTGGAACAGCATCAAGAGTCTGAAAATAGGTAAACTTTTTTGCTGGCGGCAAACTCAAGGCATTAGACCGTGGGCTTCCCACCCTCTCTCCTCTCCTGTCCATGTCCATTACTGGAGAAAGAAGGTTTTTACTAGCAATGGTCCAAGCATGGCTTATTTCACCCAGCTGGGTCCCCATCACACTTAATGGTAGGAGCATGGAGTGGTATATATGCATGTACAGCTACAATGGTTTCATACTGCAGTAGTTCCCTGCTAATTTACATTAATGACTAAGTGTCCCATTGTTTGCCATCTGTATACACAGTCAAAAAATCAAGAATAATGCAGCACAAAATGTAATTTGCTCACTTACTTGACAAATGTAATTTAGTTTGTGGCACCAAATAGTTCTCTATTAGGTTATGTAAGTAAAATGTCTGACCTACTTAAAGACTTCCAAACAACCCTATCCCACAGAGAAATATTGTCACTGTATTTATAATTTGTAACCTCCTTTCATGGCATAAAATGTTCTAATCAAATCTGTCTGTAACTGTGCCACATGTAAGATCTCCTAGAAATGTGATATATATTTAATCATCATGGTACAACAATTATACCGAAGGGACTCATACTACTAAATACCTGTCATTTTACAAAGGAAAAATAGACAAATACTGTAGTGTATGCAGAACTTGTGTGTGTCTTGGAGAAACTTTGTTTTTCTCTGTTCATCAAAGAAGTGTCAGCTGTTTCGTGTCTGATAATGTTATTAGCACTGGAAAAAAGCATTTAAACTACAATTTGTGCTTTTCTTCATTGCTCACAGTGGTGGTGACCTTGGCAGAGTAGAAATACAATATGAATGTGAGAAGTTTGCATTTGCTACTGTTGCTCCTCATTAAGCTCCCATTTATCATTGAAATGCCACTGACTAACAATGATTTCACGTCAATTCTTCATCAATACCATCATGGAAAAAATTAACATCTACTTCTCAGCAATGGTCACTCTCCGAAATCGTAAGACTTTGGTGATCAAACTGAGTGATCTGTGCTACTACAGTAACACAGTGTATTTTATTTAGGTGACATCTATTCTGTCCAAAAATCCTGCAGTAGGTGCCTCACACAAGAGATGGCAAAATAAATGCACTGATAATTGGTTTTAAAATTATGTAAATGACCTGGTAACAACTTCAGTGAATAAATGACCCCTTTTAAACAAAGTTCTGTCTGTAGTGCTCCGCATATCAAAAAGCAAAGCACTAGATGACAAGGACTGGAACAGCACCAGATATATAAAATCATTTTAAAAAGAAAACCAGGAATAGAAAATACATTTGTATATAGTCTGGGCTAGTATTATTATCAAGGCTGTCACATTTTCAGTCTTTTGATATAATGGCCTTAAATGTATTCTTATACTTGTATTATTTATCATTCTTAAATTATTTTTTTTTAATTTTTCTGGGAATTCCTTCTTTCTTAAGAGGAAAACATTTTGAAAAAACAAATAGCAAAAGGTTTATACTTTAAGAACACATCGTCATGGTACCATACCTTCCTGGATATTACACACTGATGGCTAATGTTTATGTATCATCTCCATCAAAAGATCTCTTAGCACTAGCTCCTCAGCTCACTCAGACCAGTCAGGGAACCAATCAGAACTGTTCCCTATAAAATTATAGTGAGCTTTAAAAGATCATTCTAAATATGCATTTTTATATTAATGGAAATGTTTCCACATTACCCAATCAAAGTTCAATAGTCCTGTTGAATCTAACAGGCCATAGAACCAGCATGTTTAAGGCACACCAGTTTTTGTAGCTAGTGGCACACAGAAGAGTTGTTTGGCTAACATCACTTCACCAAAAAGTTGGGTCACATAGGGACAAGCTTTAGCACAAGTCCAAAGAAAGGCTGAAACTCAGCTGTAAGTTGTTGTAGCCTCTCTGCCACTATGTCCCTTCCATTTCCTGGCAGACCATGTTCCTGTGTATTAATTTTTTCCAGTTGGTCTCAGTAAAGACCAGTGCAGTGAGACCCTGTATGTAAAAGTCAGAAAGATGATTTAGGAAGAAGTAGTGCCCAGGACTTGACGGGGGATGAGGAAATAACTTAAGAGTGCTATATGACAGGGCAAAATTAAGAGAGATAAAGAGCAGTTATTAACTTCATAGCCAGCAGGTGCCTGCATCCAGATAAAGCCTCTCAAACCATTCTTCCTAAGTTCTCCAGACAGTTCTCCAGAGAACTGTCACTTCCAAAAATCACCTACACCTCTAATTTTCTGTTTCCTTTTAACAGTATTTTAAATGGATATTTAAAGAACTTTAAAGATGGGACACAAACAAGTACCTGAGCTAACATTAGTGCTGAAGAGAGAAGAGACTTTTCTGCATTTACTACACAGCACATTCTCCTCCCCTTTCCCTCCTCACTCTTCATACTTCAACTTTTGATATTTTGAAGAAAATGTGAGTGAATCAAACAAATCCTCTGGAGAGTCAGCCTGACACGGTGCTTTCCATTCTTACTATTAAAGATTTGGTGCCACCATGTGGCCATATTCATTTTGCTGTTTTGCCCAACTGAAATGTAGTTCTATTCTGAAAAGAGCCGGGTTATGGTACACCTGCCAGAAAGAACCCAGGCTGGGTAGATTTTTTTAAAAGTCTGGATAGAGTTTGAGGTGCTGATAATTGCAAAAGCTCTCCATCTTTCTACTGGACAAGTTTCCCCTGGATGGCATTAAGACAAAATAAGCATGGAATAATGGAACAGAATCTCTTTTGAGGTAAAAGTACATTTAAAAACCTGATCTTAAGCCTGGCTTTCATCATGTATCCCGCTTTATGTCCAAGGTTTGCCAACCCCAAGCATTACAAACTTCATGGGACTTGACTTAAAAATATGGAGATTTAAGGGGAAAAATGGGAGTTCTTTTTCATCTACATTATGGAATTTTGAGTCTGTAAACTTCACTTTTTCAAGATTTTCTCTAGACCTGTGACAGCCAGAAACTTACTTTGATTATATATATAAAATTTTAAAAAATGAAAGGTGAGAGTCTCATATAATCCAGGCCTTGAGTTTTAAGTTAAAGACAAAAGTCATGATATCTGTGTTAAAAATATGAGAGTTGGTGACACTGGGCAATCTACACGGTCATTAATGCACAGTAGTTACTGCACATTTCATTTAGTACTTGCTTAATGAAGTACTAACTAAATGCACAGTAATGCATGTTAACTGCGCAGTAGCACTGGCAAACAGTTTTCTGGTGATGTTTACTGCATAATAGCCTAATAACACTGCACAGTAGTGCATTAGCATGAATTTTGATCAGTATGCTACTGCGAAGTGTTCTTAGGCTACTCTGCAGTAAGCATCTTATGTAGACATGCCCATTGAGAGCTATTTCCATGTCTATATTTAAACCTATTTACATGTTTAGGAACCTAATTTGCAAGTACAAAAATTAATATCATGTTTGAGAAATCTGTCCTGAAACCAAACAGACTTCTATAAGAACTTTAAAAACGGTTTTTTTCCACAAGGAAGTTTCACAACCCCTAAATGGCTCCACTTCCAGAATTAAAAGTGGATTAAGCATTTTATGTGATCCTGAAATGTTAAGTTAAAGATAATGCCACAGCTCCTCCTCTTCCCTTCAGTGTGTGAGACAGCAGATTTAAACTCCTCCCCTATCTCTCAGCTAGATGGCCTGTCTTGGGAATAGACAAAACTAACTGGATTCCTTTCTTGTGCGTTTAGTGGCCAATCAGCAGGCTCATTTCTTTCTTCATTGCTTTCAAAGGAATTATGGGCCTGCTCCTTCCAGTCAGATCTTACGGGTGTTCTGTTCTTGGTGCTCAAGACTTTCTCCTTTAGGCCTAGTCAAAAGGCCCTTCTCCCTTTGCCAGTTAACCTGGTAGCTGACAAATCAATCTTTAGAGGAACACAGCCAAAATCTTCATTCCTAAATCTTGTTACTCTGACCCTTTAAACCACAAAAGTATGTTGAGTTCTGTGTAGCTGGAACATACCTCAAGATGGTGCTAGGGGCTTGTGTTGAAGTGCTGTCATCTCATTTCTAGTGAACAAACTGGAATATCAGTCCAAGACAACTAGAACTCCAAGTGATGTGCTGGCTTGAAACATGTCAACCCTAGCCCCTGATTCTGGTCATCAGTGATAAGTACTTGATTATACACTCCAGTCTTTTTTCATTCCTCCCCCACAGCTGAGCTCCCACCCTTTTACTGTTGCAAGCACTATGAAGTAGTTCATAGATTCATAGACTGGAGAGTCAGAAGGGACCACAAAGGATCATCATGTCCGCCCCCCCGCCCCTGGCAGGACCGAGGTCAGATGACCCCAGCCAGGTGTCTATCAAGCCTCATCTTGAAGACCTCCAAGTTAGGTGATAGTACTGTGCGGGCCGCCTCCCGATCCCATCCATGTCGCCATGTGCGGGCCGGGAGCGATATGCGGACCCGTCTTTGCGCACGCGGGCTGTGGCCAGCAGCCCGGGCACGCGGGGTCAGAGGAGACCATGCGGCGGCAAGGCACGCACAGGCTAGAATTAGTCACAGAGGCGTAGTGGTTGATTTAAAGATTGTTTACTTACACCAAAGATGGTCGCGGTGCAGGCAGGAAAACTTGCTTGAGTTACAGTTGCAGATAGAAAAGATAAGAGGCGGACCAGAGTTCCTTCTCGTGAACACTCTTCTAGCCCATCCGGTTGGAGGCTCTAAACCGCGAGCCCGTCGCGCCAACCAAAGAAAGTACTCGAACCGAAAGAGCTCTGAATAGACTCACACAAAGTTTGCTAGGCTCCATGGAACTTGCGCGCAGGGAAGAGGGATACGTCGAGGATTGCGCTCGGTGACGGGGAGAGGCTAGAGGCTGATCAGACCCCTGTTGCCTGCTTGATATTCACGCTGGGTTCAATAGGCTCCGCAGCGCTTAGAGATCTTCACACAGTGTAAAGTCTCCTCCTCCTGCTGTTCATGGAGTCCTCCAACTTGGGTGGAAACCACTCAAGCCTTTTATACGGCTAGCAAGCCAATCACTAAGC